AGCTATTGTGTTGGAAATATGACAAGATCAGACACGAACATAATTCCCATTAAGGATCTCCATGTCTATAATGAAAAACATGTCAGCGTGGCCTATCTAAATTAGTCCGTGAAGAAGCCCTACTGCTCCAGTGGTTAAAGGATTGGCAGCTCCATGAAATGAAAGCAGTTGTGTTCCATGAGGTGGCCATCTGGTAACACCTGGCTTATAGCCTAGAAGCCCCAAGGAAGAGTTTAAGGTGCTATGGCATCACTCACAGAATCCACTGTAGCGCAGTGAATAAAACAAGCCTCTTATCAAGAACACTTGGATACAAGGCTAGACCATTCAAGCATTAGCATGCAGTGGGGCACAGAGAAAATGGTAGCTTATTTTAAATAAGATCCTATCTTGCTATATACAAGAGTTATATATCTGGATGTTGCCTTGTATTAGAAATAATTATGACACAATTTTTAAAATGAGGAGCTATTGGGACACACTTCTTGCCCAGCAAATTCGAACAAAATAAAGAAACAGTTAACATAGTAAAAAAAAAAACAAACACAACAGGATAAAACGAATTTACACTTAGACTTTGGTCCCAAGAAACTGTTATATTCAGGTCTGAAGATTAATCAGGGCCACACGGAAAAGGCTCAAATGAAAAGCTTTACTGGAGCTGGCTGCACTCCAAAGCCCCCCTCTGCCTGAGGGCCATGTTCCCTACAACCTTGCTTCCCGGTCAGAAAGCTGTTAATGGAGGCTTACTCTCTATGGGACTCTGCAATCCCTTAATCTAGGGCTTAATCTAGGCGGGGATTTGGGGCTGTCACTGTTATTGTATCCTTTTGCAAAGCAAAGTGCTGAGACGTTAAGCTCTAATACCTCAGTCACCAGTGGAGTGGCCTGATGACTGCAAGGCTGGCTTCTCTTTTCAGGAAAGGCCACTCTGGGGTCCCCTGCTCTCATGACCGCAACCTGACACGGAAAGGACCGGCCCCAGGCAAGAACCCATGCCCAATCGCGCCTTTCTGGAGGGAGGGGTGAGGGTGCAGGAGGAGCTCTGAGCAAGAAAAGCGGCCAGAGTATTCCCAGGCCCGAAGGCTGAGGCCAGCTCAGAAAGGATTTAACTGGAAATATCCCAGGGGGTCGCGGCGACCGGCGGACAGGGTGCGGGAAGTGTAACGTCCGCGGGAACCCGGACACAGCTGGGGACACCAGGCCTGCGGGGATTCCGCGCCTGGGATCAGCACAGAAACACGGAAATTCACTCACCCGCAGAAACTCGTGGGACGCTCACTTGGATCCCTCTCAGGCAGAGGAAGTGGGATCAGCAGGAAATTGCATCACCTGGGGAGGGGACCGGGTGGTGTTTGTGCGAAGGGGCGGAGCCTGGAGATGAGGGCGACCTGAAGGGAGGGGCCTGGAAGTGAGGCTCAGAGCCTGGAGTGGCAACGGATTCATTCTTAGTAGTTTCTTCTTAGTCTGGAAACCTTGCTGAAACCTGCTCTCTTTGGGTGGCCTTGCTTGCACTTGAAACGCATATGCATTTGAATCACAACAAGCCCAGACAGAAAGACAAACTGAAAGAAAAGTGGTGGGTGGAAGGCATGTTTCCCAAGTGGGAATTCCCCAAGAGACACTCCAGCTGCTAGGATTACAGAGACTTACACCTGACAGCATCCATGCCATCTGCTCCACTTGACCATGTCTCTCCTGGGATCCACCTGAACGCCCCTCAACCACCCAACTCGAAGAAGAGGCCTGAGCCCTGTAGAATCAAGAGCCACCTCAGGAAGACCCTTCACAACCTGCTTCATCCTCAGACACGGATTTCAGGCTTTGCTCCCTGTGCTACAGCACCCAGACTCACGGCTCCTTTCCCTTGATGCATGCTCAGGTGAGCATTGAGATGGGGAAGTGCTGAAAATGCCACAGTTGTCCAGTTGACATCTCTTCCCCGGCTCTCTCCCTCTCCTCACTGCTAAAGATTTATTTTCCCCCAATCTGTGGGTTCTGTATTACTCTTTTGATGAAACCTTTCTATGTGAAGAAGTGTCTTATTTTCAGTAAGTACCAGTCAACTAATTGTCCTTCACGGACTGTTTCCTTTAATACATTTCATGTGTTGCAGTCTCTTTCTACTTCTATGTTATTGAGTGTTTTTATCAGGAATGGGTGTTAGATATTGTCAAATGTCTTTTCTGTATCATATGGTTCTTATTCTTTGTCCTGTTTATGTAGTTGGTTACATTAATAGTTTTTCTAATACTGAATCATACTTGCATCCCTGGTAATAATCTGACTTAGTCAAGTTGAAATATGAACTCAAAGGCAACGATAGGGGCTCTCAACCTCCACTCATCCCATTTCCACAAATGTAAAGATAAACTGCTCTGATGTATGTTCTAATGACTCTCCTAATCTAATAAAGTTATGTAATCATCAAATATGTTACTTTATTGTTAAAACACCATATATCCTGTTTGTTTGGACCCAGTCTGAACCAGGCAGCCCCCGTTTGGACTAAGCTGAAGCAGGACCGGGCCCTGCACATCCCAAAGGTCAGTAGCAGCAGCAGAAGGAACCAGATAAGATAACCAGTGAAACCAGATGTTTTGGGTTCAAAGAAAGCCATGAGGAGTCGACAAGCAATTCTAGGAGTTTCCAGACCCCATATGCTAATTGCCATAATTGCCATACATTCCTCACCACCCCTTTAAAAACCCTCGCCCCCAGCTGCTGAGTATGACTTCCCTGACCTGTTGGCCTAGGTCACGGAACCTGGTCTGGGAGCTCCCCCTCTCCCCAATTAATAAAGCTATTTCTGTTTCTGCTCTCCCTTGTCCTGTCAGTTAGGTCTGTCTTCCGCCCTGTTCCTCAGTTCCGTCTTACACTGTTGTAGTGTATTTTATAAATAATTTTACCCTATATTCTCTGTAGTCTTAAAACTTTCTTTTAACGTTTCTCAGGCATTAAAGTAATAAATAAATAAATAAATAAAGTTTCTCATACAGATCTACCGTTGTTCAAATTTGTCCTTGACTATTGATTCATCTTGCAAGTGTAGATATTAAAACCATGATTATATATTTTCAACAATGATTCTGGAATGATTATCACTGTACTGCTTATTAAAAAAAAACACCCTAACATTTTAGTACTTATTGTACATAGAGTTGTTAGATCTCTCTGTAGCTAGATATACCTCGGTCCTTGGCTCCGCACGAGAAAGAATTCACACCGAAGCCTGGCTCGTGATCCAAGTGAGTTTTATGAAAGTTAGTAGTTTCAGGTTTACACGGCACCCGTGAGGCTCCTCCCGAATATGCGGCCTGGTTGGAAGCTGCTCGGTGTCACACAAAAGTGTCCCAAAGTCCTGCCAAAGCTCTCTGCGCCAAAATTCTCTTTTCGACTCCGGGCTTCTGCCTTTTCAAGGATTCCACTGGGAGGCGTGGTGGAAGACCCCTGATTGACCCCATTGGCTGGAATTGAATTCACCTGGCCTAGGTGGGCCAATTCAAGTTCACGCCCACCCCTGCCTACCCTGAGGGAATCCAAGCCTCTGGGCATGTGCAGTGCGCCATTCCTTTGTTCCCCTAGCTTGGCCCTCTGGGCACGCATTAACAGACATTCCCAGATCTAGCTAACCTACCTAACAGAGTCACTGCACATGGGAGGTTGTTGCTGTTCGGTTTCATTAAGTGAGTTCCAAATCACAGTGACCCTGTGTATCACAGGGAGAAACACTGGCCTGTCCCACACCATCCTCATAATTATTCTTATATTTGAGCCCATTGTTTCAGCCTTTGTCAGTCTAAAAAGGTTTCCTCTTGTTTGCTGCCCCACTACCAAGCACCACAGTTGGAAGTGATGTATCTCTTGTATTTGCCTCTGGTTTACAAATACACAAACACTGTTAAGGTTTTACTCATATGGAATAAGAAAATGCATTTAAAAGAAGAACAATAAAGTTAGAGCTGTTGTGTGAGCCCTGACTCAGAACCATAGAGAGCAGAGTAAAAGCTCCTTAGCCTTTTTTTTTTTTTTTTGGCCATTTCATAGAACATAATGTTTCATCTTTACCACACAGCAGGTAGTGTCCTTAAACAATAACCCAAAACTAGACAGGTGATGTAGTGGTTTATTTTCTCAGTCTCAGACAAGGATAAGCACCACATGGAGGTTAAAGTGTACTTGCGTGTCCAAGAGTTGAAGAAAATATTCAGTTTGTTTTGTATAAAATTAAAATCGTGTTGATATGGTAGAAGTGCATTGTTAATTGTTCTATGTGGCCCTGAGCACAGCTGTGACACTCTGGTTGTAAGAGAATGATATCCTGACCCACTATCAAAGTGACTCAGGCCTCACCTTTTACGATGTGGAGATTCAGTGTCACTTAGGGAGGTTGGTGCCTTTAGCTCAGTCCGTGCTCTCCATAAGGTATGTGACTTCGATCATACATCTGATAATAATCTGAACCGTTTTTCGGGAAAGACTCTTTTCGGACCACTAAGACCTACACATTGTATTATTTCCAATTCATCTGAATTCCTTCCTATATGGTCAGTGTTATGAAGAACAAACTTTCAAATATGTTGGTGGGAATTAAGGCACTAGGAACTGCTGTTAATCCCTGCCATATCAAGTAAGATACATATTTTCCTGAATGTCTATGCTTAATGAAATCTTATCTCCTGACTGATTTTTTACCTGGGTGTTTCCGGATCACACCCAGGACTATGCTCCTCCCATTCCGGGTTGTGCTGAGACGGGCCGGAAGTGGCGGTGTCCTAGCCGGAAGTGAGAGTCATAGCGCGGTTCATACTTGCTGTGCTCTGGGCATGGCGCCAGAGAAGCGCCTGCAGCCTGCGCTGTGTGTAGTCGGTGCGCCCAGTGGGGGGACGCGCAGTGTGGGGGTTGCGCGGTGACCAGTTTGGGGCACCCTTGGTGCCCACAGCAGCTTGGCTGGGGTGCAAGCGCCCTTCTCCCCACTTCGCTGCCCCCGTGCAGCGCCCCTCTCGAGTTGGGATGTGGGAGGGTGTCCCAGAGGCTGGCCCCATCCCCCAGTTTTAGGATTGGTTGGGGTTCGTGGGGAGAATCCCTATTGGAGAAAGGGGGATCCCGATTCATCACTTTGCGGGTCTCCTAGCCCCCTCCCTTGTTTCCTTTCACACAGCGGTGCCTCCTCCCCGAGACTCTGAAGGTCTTCAGCTCACAGGTGAGCCCTGGGGTCCTTTGTTTCTCTCACCACGAAGAAGTGAATGCTATTCAGGAAGCGAGTGGCAACAGCGGTGTACAAACGTTAGGGCTTCCTCCGGAGGTTTGCTAAGTCTTGTCACCTGGGCGGTACCTTCTCCCGGGAGCTGGGCGCGGGGTGAACCTGGTTCGGAAACTCCCTGTGCGGTAACTTCCCCCAGGAGCTGGATTGAAGTGATACTCCAGCGCACCCACCACGCATTGAGCCATGATAGGCATGCCCAGGTTGCTGGGCTTAGTCCTTCCAGGACTGGGGTCCTCAAGGGAGGTGACTCAGTTTGGTGGCTATCAGTCAGCAGTCTGGCAGGTGGCAAGTAAAAGGAAAAAGAGATGCGCCCAACTGTACAAAGATGGGGTTCAGGGAGCAGGAACTCAGCCAAAGTGAGGGCCAGTCTTTCTTTGGGAAAGTGTATAAGTCTCCAAAGAAGGGCAAGATCTCTTAAGTACGGAAGATCCCCCGTTCCCACATACACTCTTCAAAAATTTTGCGTGTTTCTTTACTTTTTACAAAACCCTGGGGCTTTTTTTAGCTGTACAAAGAAGCTGGAGGAAAGCTTTCATAGTGGAGGACAGACAGCTGGAGGGAAGATTTCTTTAAGAGGGACAGGAGAAAATTGCCATCAGTAATTAATTGCTTTTCATGCAGAGAAAGTAGCTAGTAAAAGTCATCCAGGCAATCGAACCGGATCTATTATTTCTGCAAATTTGTTAGTGTGGGAGAGTGTGTGAGCTGCTCCTGCTTATTGCCCAAAGGGAAATTTCTGTTTCTGTTGCCTCTGAAGAAGTTTCTAGTAGCTTGTCCTATGTTTAGACTTATGCCGACTCCATTTTAACTGTGTATTCCCACCTGGAGTCATTTTATCCCTATTTTAATGAAAATTCCCTGAGTGCGTTGCTTGCTTTGGGGAATTCATTTTGGTTTGGTTTGGTTTTTGAATAAGCGATTTTAGAAAAAGTTCCAGCTTTAACGAAGCCATGAGCCAGATCCAGGAGCTGAAGGAGGCCGTAGAGTTGCCCATGGAGACCATCCAGGTGGGGTGTGGCTCTGGCCAGTGAGGGACTGAGGGGCTGCCCTGGTGCTCCACCCCATTCCTGGAACACGTGCTGGCATGACAAGAGGCAGTACTCCCCTCCAAACTCAGTGCCAGTGATTCTGACCCAGCGACCCTATGGACAGTGTAGAACTGCCTCTGTGGGTTTCCCAGACTGTACCTCTTCACAGGAGTAGAAAGCCTCATCTTTTTCCAGCCAGTGCTTTCCAGCTGATGGCTTTGTGGATAGAAGCCCAGCCTGCAACCCACCAGACTACCAGGATGCCTGCTCTCTATTGTAGTCTTAATTTTCCACCTCCCAATCTAGCGGTTCTAGGAAAGCTCATCTCCACGCCACACGGGACTTTCTACAGCACCCTGGCCAGGAGGAATTTCTGCTCCAGTCCTTCTGAGTTTGGAGGGTGATTCATGTGAACATGCTCTTGTTCATTCCTTGAAGGTTCACACTGTACTTTCTAGATGCCAGCTCCTGTGTAGAGACCAAAGCCCTCAACATATCTGTGTGGGCTGATAGGCCCTACAGTCAGAACTGAGATCAAATTCTAGTGCTTCTACTCATTAGCTGATTTCCTTGGGAAAATCTTTGAGCCCCACTGGGCTTCTATTGGTTCGTCTGTAAAGTGGGCCAGCTGTTTGCGCTTGAGGGTTAAGTGACTCAGTGCAGGATCTGGCATACAGTTAGTGGCTACTGCTGTGATCTGTGCCGCCTAGAGGCATGCAAACACATCCTAATAATGCTGGGCTGAGTGGAATTGAAGGTCATGGGACACTTACAGCTGTGGATGACGGTGCAGGAAAATTGCTTGGGCCTGTCCTCCCTTTCAAATGCCTCAGGGGCACAGGCATTTGAAAGGACAAGGAGAAGGAGCTGGGCACAGGCCAGCCAGGTCCTGGTGCTAACTGGCCTCCCAGAACTCATATCCGGCTTCCTGATGAGAGCAGGGAACCTTTGGAGGGAGTTGAGCAGAGCAGTGACATGGTCATGGCAGCATTAGGCTTATCATGGGGGCTTCAGTGTGGAGCCTGGTGCAGGTACTTGGTGAAAGAGTGCAGGAGTGGATGCAGGGAGAGCAGGTAGAAGGTTGTTGGGATAGTTCAAGAATGAGGTGTGACTGTGGCATAGGGATTGTAGTGGGGGCTGACGGGAAATATCAGAGCCATTTTGGGTTGGGGGCAGATGGTGGAGTTGGGTGGCTGGCAGGATTTGGTAGCATACAGGGTCAAGAAATAAAGCTGACACTCAGCTTTATGATGTAGGCAAAGCTTGGGGACCTCCTGGATGAGGGTCAGAAGGCAAGATGTGGGCATCTTGTGCAGGCATTTGTGTTCCTTACCTGAGGAACGGCCCCAGGAATAACTTGCTAAGTCGACTGGCTGGGTCTTTTCCCACTGTGTCACAGCAAGGGCCAACCTGACTTAAGCTCTTCCAAGATGGCCAAGCAGCCAGACTACGACCTGAAGAAAATTGAGAACAAAGTAGAACCCATCGTAGATATACTTCCCAATTACCTGCAAGGTGGGACTGGCTGCAAGGGAGTGTGGGGTTTGGGGGCTGGGGATTGGGCGGGGGTTCTGCTGGCTCCTGGACAACTACAGGTGTTGACAGCTGTGCCTTGAGTGAGTATGAGACCTGGGGGACACCACTCACCCCAGTGGACCACCACTCACCCCAGTGGACCATGTCATTCCAGCTTTCAAGAAAGCCCCGGTCCTGGTCATGCAGGTGCAAGAGCAGACCAACAAAGAAACCAGCAGCAAGAAAAAGCCCCAGTGATGACTCTAAACAAATCTGACAATAATGGAAGTTTCCTACAAACTTTTTGAGGCCCCCTTATATACCTATCTCACAACTTTTGCCTGCTCAGTTATTTACAGGTTTAAGCCTTATTGACAGCAATTACAAGAATCTGTTTGCAAGCTAACATTCCATGATCCTTGTAGTTTTTCCACCACCCCGACCCTCCACCCCCCACTTTCTGCATACTGACCCTAGTAACCACTAATAAACTTTGATATCTATACATTTGCCTTTACTTGTCTTTCTATAGAAGTGAAGGTATATAGTATCTGCCCTTTGTAATTGACTTGTTTCATTCGGCATAATGACTTCAAGCTCTATCCATTCTGTATCAAGACTTCATTTATTTTACTGTGAGAGCAGTACTTGTGTTTACCACATTTTGTTTGTATATTCATCTGTTGAACATTTATGTTATTGAAGCTGTTTGGTTATTGTTGACATTGCTGCCATGAACACTGCTATGCCCGTCTCTCTTTGAGGATCTGCTGTCAAGTCTTTTGGGTATATACTCAATCAGAGTGGATGTCACTGTTTATGTCAGTTGGTCAGATTGTGGTGGTTGTGTCATGCTGGCAGCTATGCCAGCTGGTATTTCAAATACCACCCATGGTAGTCAGGCTTCAGCAGAGTTTTCAGACTCACACAGACTAAGGTTGAGAGGCAGACCACCTCTGAAACAGTAGCTACTGAAAACAATACGAATAGCAGCAGAACATCATCTGATGCAGAGCCAGAAGATGGTCCCTCAGGCAGGAAGACACTCAAACTAGGATTAGGGAAGAGTTGCCTCCAACTCATAGTCACCCTATGTACAAAACACTGGTCCGTTCTGGGCCATCTCTACAATTGAGCCCATGAGGCAGCCAACTGTGCCAGTCCATGTTGTTGAGGATCTTCCTCTTTTTCAGTGACCCTCCATTTTACCTCATGTGACAAACTTTTCCAGTAACTGGTCTCTCCCGACGACATGTCTAAAGACGTGAGACTAAGGTTTACCATCCTCACATCACATCCTAGGAGCATTCTGGCTGTTCTTCCTCCAAGAAGGATTTGGCTTATTCTTCTGACAGGTCACTTCCAATATTCTCTCCAAGAGAGTTGCCCTTAATGTTCTGGATGAAGCAAGTCTTTGGGGAGCTTCATTGACTAATATGGCATAAGTCAAACTGAGAAGAAACTGTTGAAACCTCCATTATTCAGGAAGAGGAATGTGCAAAATATGATTCTTGGAAAATTTGAAGTCACCAAAAATGGATTGGTACAGGCCACTTTGAATCTTGGAGTCATATGGTTTACTATGCTGGGAATTAAAAATTGAAGAGGAATGGCATTGCATTTACCTTCTGCCTGAACACTGCTGCCTGAAATTGTGTTGCAAATTATCTTTTTAAGGTGTTAAAAGTGCAAAGACACCACTTTGAAGACTAAGGTGCTCCTTAACCTAGCTGTTATATTTACAATGACCTCATGGATGTTTAAAATGAATAAGGCAGACCTGAGAAGAAATGATGCATCTGAACTAAGTGTTGGTAAGGAATATTGAAATTACAATAGAGTGCCAGATGAAGAAACATGTGTTTTGGAGTAAGTATAGCTGAATGGCCCTTGGAAGCGATGATGCCAAGACTTCTCTCGTGCTTTGAACATGTTATCAGAAGGATATGTTATTAATCCATGGAGAAGGACATCGTGCTTGGTAGAAGGATAACAAAGAAGACCCCCAACAAGATGAATTGATTCAGTGGCTGTAACAATGGGCTCTAACATAATAGTAATTGTGAGGAAGGTGCAGGACCATGCAGTCTTTCTTTTGTATATAGAGTCACTATGAGTCTGAACTGATGGCATCTAACAACAACCACGTGGTGGTATGTTTACTATTTAGAGGAACTTCCAGACTTTCCCAAAGAGGCTGTACCTTCTTTCAGTGTATGAGGACACTGACTTTACAACATTCTAGGCAAATGTTATCTGTTTTATTATAGCCTTGTGTGTGTGAGTGTCATTGAGGTAGTTAGTTTATTGTGCCAACCTGGCCGATAAACACAGGTTAATTGAAGGGCAGAGGGATAAATGGCTCAGTGAGCCTTGACTTTCTACTTCTCAGGTCTCTTGCTTTCTGATGGTCGGACCAGGGTGCAAGTGCCTTAGCCAGTTCCCTGCTTTAGCTTGCAAGGCTCACTTCCTACAAGATATCCCTGAGGAGAAGCCACATGGACCTACCCCTATGCAGCCCTGGGTGCTGGAGCACCCATATGGAGGCCCTTGCCAGAGCTGAGATGTTTTCACATTCACTGACTTGGCTTTCCTCCTGTAGTCGTCATCATTGCATCTGTTTTGTGCGGTGGAGGAGGACTTTGTGGGTTGGTGTTGGACATACAGGTTAATGGGTTAATGTTGGACTTGTGGGCTTGGGCAGCACTGGGTTGGGATGTTTTCTTGATACACACTTAACATTTATATAAAACTCTCTCTTATACATGAGTTTCTGTGGATTTGTTTCTCTAAAGTACCCAGACTAACACAGGCATTTCATTATGATTTTGATTTGCATTTGCCAAATGATGAATTCTTTAATACTTTGTCTTCCTGAGCTGCCCTTTGAGATTATCTGTTTAGCTCTTTAACTTCATCATTTCTTCCATTTGCCTTAGCTACTCTAAGCAATTATGAGCAATTTCAATTTCTCTTCTGATGTCCACTTTGATTTTTCTGTCTTTAATGACCTTTTGCTTCCTTCACACATGATGTTCTTGATATTGGACCCCTACCCCACCCCAGCTCATCAGGTCATTAGTGTTCATTGCATTAAGTCTGTTCTTGAAATATTCCCTAAATTCAGATCGGATAGCCTCCAAATACTAGTTTGACTCTTGTGGACTTGTTTTAATATTCTTCAGATTCAAACAGTTTATAGTAATTTTAAACTAAATCTATATTAGAGTTGTATGGTTTATGTTTAAAATACTTATATCTTTAGAATAGTGACTAACTTCTTGACTAATTTTTAATTTGTTTTCTTTTAGTTGTTGACTTGCAACACTTCTTTATATATTCTGAATACTAGATTATTAGATATCTCATGAATAGTTAATGATGTAGGTTGCCTTTTTCAAATTCTTGATTGTGTCTTTCCAACTATAAGGGACTTTAATTTTGATGAAGTTCAGCTTATGTACATTTTCCTTGGGCTGCTTATGCTTAAGATGTCATCATTGCTTAAAATGGAAGATGTCTTAAGAAACCATTCCCTAATCCAAGGTCATTTATGTATATGATTTCTATTAAGGATTTTATACATTTGGCTCTTACATTAAAGTTTTAAGATCTATTTTGAGTTAGTGTTAGCATATGGTGCAAGATAGGAGTCAAAACCCATTCTTTTTTCTGTGAGTATCTAGTTGTTTTGACAGCATTTGCTGAAATCACAGTGACTTCTCTGTGCACTCTTTTTGAATAAATTAGTTATGGATGTATGTGGTTGAATTTTTAGACTCAAATATATTCCATCAATATGTCTACCTTTATGTCAATACTACACAGTCTTAATTACTATAGCTGTTTAGTAAGTTTTCATATCAGGCAATGTGAATTCTCCACCTATATTTTCTTGTTTCTCAATATTATTTTGGCTACACTAAAACCATCACATGTTCATAGAAATTTTAGCACCAGAGAGCAAATGTTTTGAGAATGATGAGGGCAATGAATGTACAAATGTGCCTTACACAATTGATGTATGTATGGATTGTGATGAGTTGTATGAGCCCCTAATAAAACGATTATAAAACAAACAAACAAAAAAGATTTTAGAGTCAGCTTGTCATTTTCTGGAAAAAACTAAACTCTTGAGAGGAATTAGGTTGAATCTGTAGATGAATTGTACAATATTGCCTCTGGATAATAGTTTTCCAATCCATGAAAACATCAGCTTTCTACATGGCTCATTTTTGCTCAGGTCTCAGTTTAAATGTCAAGCCTTCTCACATCTTATACAAAGTTCACTCTTCTGCTCCACGACAGCACATTATTCATTAACTGCACATTTATTACGATCTAAATAGGTTGTCTTCCTCCGTAGAGTTTATGCTTCAAGTAAGTATTTTATTATAAATATTCTCTAGGGCCGAGAACAATGCCTACAAACAATAATTGTTCTTAATTTTTGTTGACACCAATCTACTCTGGGAGTGGGTGGATGGAGTGTTGTGGAGTGGGAACACCACAAGAAGTATGCTTGGGGGAGGGGGTTGTCGGCTCCCCCATAGAAACATGCTCTGGGTGGGTGATAGTTCCGAGGTGTCCCATCCCCCAGAGCATCTCTCTGGTGGTTTTCAGGACTCTGAGAGCATCTTTATGGCGAGGTCTCAAACACCCCAGAAATTTTTTTTTGTCACGTCCCGGACTCCCAGAGCATCGTTCTGGTGGGGTCATAGATCCCTCAGAGCATCATTCTAGCAGGGTCCCTGAAGCCCAAAGCATCATTTCACTGATGCTTCCAGTGCTTCATCAATTTGTTGAAACATTTTGATTGTGTTCAGTCAATTCTTAGAAACTTATTTTTGGCTAATTCCATCAGTGCGGCTTGAGCTTTTTCCATTAGTACTATTGGTTCTTGTTTATATCCTACCTCTTGAAACGGTGGAATGCCAACTTGTTCTTCATGGTAGAGTAATGTGTATTCTTTCCATCTTCACTTGATGCTTCCTTTATCGTTCAATATTTTCCCCATAGAATATGTCAATATAGCACCTCAGAGCTTAGATTTCTTTTTCTTCAGTTATTTTAAGATATAGTGAGCACGTTCTCCATTTTGGTTTTCTCACTCTAGGTCTTGCACATTTCATTATAATACTTCTCAGGCTGCTTTCTGAAAGTTTCTGTTCAGCTCTTTGACTTCATTTCTTATGAAGTACCTTAGTTACTCCATGATTAAAATCAAGTTTCAGAGTCTCTTCTGACATTCACTTTGATCCTTTCTTTCCTGTCTTTTTAATGACCTTTTGCTTTCTTCATATTATCGGTGATATCCCACGGCTCATTAGGTTTCCTGTCATTAGTCTTCAGTGAGTCAAATCCATTCCTGACATCTTAATATTCAGGTGAGATAGACTCAAGGTTGTATTTGACTCCCAGGGACTTGTTTTAATTTTCTTCAGCTTGAATCTGAACTTACCTATGAGTAATTGATGGTCCATTCCACAGTTGGCTGCCGAAGTA